AATAATTAAGAATTTTCTTAATTATTTCTTAGTACTAATTGTTAGTATAATATCAATAGTATAAATTGGGGTTGTTTCGATTACTACTATATAGTTTGTATTTGTGTATGTTATTTATTTAATGAAATTCCCCTACACAGACCGCTATCGAGTAGTCATCTTAGATGGTAATCGAGTGGCTTGGCTAAATTGATTTTCTCTAAAGGCCGCAGATCAGCAGCATTGGTCCTGGTTTTTTTTATCTATTAAAATAAATTACTGCAAAACTACACCGTATTAGAAATATAACAGATATAGAGAATTCTGCCTTATTGTCGAAAGTTATACGAGTTTTAGATCTTTTGTTTTTAGTTTTTGATATACGAAAGTTAAATAAAGATGAAAAAATAGCATATCATGTCATGAGAAACCAAATTATTATTCGTTTATTAACTGCTGTTAATAAAGTGTGCTACTAGAAATTTAACTTTTGAACTTGAACAGAAATATAAATAATCTTTATTCTAATAAACTCATTACAAGCACTTTTGAATAGTCATATTTTGATTCTACCACTCATTCGGAACGCAGATTCATCACAAGCAGAACGAGCAAGAAACTTGTGTGTTGCTCTTTTGAATGGTTGTTTTATTTTATATAAATAATTACAGTATAACAAGTAAGAGGCATGCGATAATCAACATAGAAATCGCTACTCACGCATTATTAGTGTAATCAGTTTTCATTAATGCAATTAAAATTATAGAGTTATATAATTTTAATTGCATGAATGAAAACTTTTATCCATTTTATCCATTTATACGTTATATCCATTTTAAAACCTGAAATGGGATTCTTATATTATAAATCTATTTAAATATTTATAGGTTGTTGTACAGGACTCCTTACATCCGGGCCGCTGGCTGGCACGACAATTCCTTATTTTTAAATATTTATATTTTATATTGGTTGCTATCGGTTTGTTATGCCTTCTATTATAAGTTCTATTGCTCTTGCTTTCTTATATAGTTTGTTACGACATATATTTTTGTAATATACTGTTATACATACATATTGCGCATTTAATTACCACCATCGTTGGCTGCACCGACCCTACCCCAGCGTCCTTCACACTCCCACACAGTTGTAATGAATAGTTTTATTTTAGGACTATTCAGTAGCATTGTAAGTTATTTATATAATTTGTCAAATGACATAGTATAATTATTTAATTAAAATGGTACAAATATGGAAAATAATCGATATATATAAATAAAATTGGAGTCTGTTTGTAATATTGAAATAACCGTATTTTACTACATGCATATGAATATAATTACGGTGCATATACCAAAAATACGCTTTTAAAAATTTTTGTTTGTCTGTCTGTTTGTTCTGGCTAATCTCTGAAATGGCTGGACCGGGTTTAACGGGTTTTTTGGCAGGTAGCTGATGTAGTAATAGGGAGTAACTTAGGCTACTTTTATTTTAGAAAAATAAAGTTTAATTCCACGCGGACAAAGATATAAAGAGATAAATGCAATTATGTACTATCATTATGTTTTAAAATCATAGTATTAAACAATATGTACAAGATATATGTGTAACATTGACTGTGAATACATCAAACGCTGGGTAATGAACAACATAATAATATTAGCACCTCTCGATACCTGAATATCTCAATCGAGCTGATTAATTAACTATAGAGCCGCATTAATTGCACTAAGTGTGTACATTTGACAGTGCTCTGATGAGTTAATATTTCATGCTTGTTAAATATCCCACTTTGAAAATTATCTCAATATTATAATTATTATCAATTTGTTAATTGTAATAATGTAAATATAGCTGTTTGGTTTTGTTCCGTTGCCTTCAGTTCATATTAAAAAAGTGAAATAACTTTGGCGCCAAAATACTAACAAAAAATTAAAAAGTAATATTGTATGGATAGAAATGTATTGTTAATATATTGTTATATTATTTAAATATAAAAATTGTAATTTGATGTACGTACAATTGTTTTGTATGTATAATAATGAACGAAGAAAATTAAAAACATTTTATAGCGATATAGGTCATGGTTTTTAAAGAAGATACTCTAATAAACAATGCTGAGACGTTGTAGTGTTTGAATTAATATTCACCGCTTGCCACAACACTAATGAATCGGTTATTTAATGCAATCAACTGTATTAATAACATATTTACGCGTTAACGGAATTTAATGATCAGTAAATTCTAGTAAAATGTAGTTTCCACTGCCAAATTTACCTTTAAATCCAAGTTAGGAAAACATATTTCCAACGACTAGTGTAATTAAAATTACAACATTAATTTAGTGTTAAATTATCTCCCGCTTTCACTGGAATATTCATTATTTTATATGTATATTAATGTGTGCCTAAATATATATATGTATTATAATATATCATTATTTAAGTATCTATATATATTTCATTTAATGAATTTTATTATAATTGTACCTCCTTCGTTTTAAATAATAAAAGGAAGTTATATTATGTAATTATTTACTGAAACTAGGGCGTCATAGTAATCTCTGTTTGCCTTATGGTCGAGTGAGAGAAAATGCCTTATAATAATAATAATAATAATAATCTCAGGACAATTCACACAGTGCCATCTAGTCCCAAGTTAAGCTAGCTAAAGCTTGTGTTATGGGTACTAGATAACTGATACAGATACATAGATAATTTTTTTTTTCGTAAATACATACATATTATATATAGAAAACACCCAGACCGATACAAACAATTATACTCACGAATACAAATGTGCCGTGCGAGGAATCGAACCCGCGACCATCGGACGTAAAGCGGTGTGCTAGACCGCTAGACCACCGAGGTCGTCAAACTTATGGTGTTAAGTCTGCCATATACACCTTTATATTTGTATTTGTGTGTTATAAATAAATTTATAAGAATTCAAATAAAAATTAGTATAACGAGTATGGAAAGTAAAAATAGCAATAGAAAGGTTACTTGTGTAATAAAATCTTTAAATAGAATACCTATGTGTATTATATTTACTTCAGTTTTCAGTTTATGCGCAAATGCACTTTAAACTGTTTACGCGTAAAATAGAAGAAAATTTGCGGTGTTGATAATAATGCATTCAAGTTACGAGATGCAGTCAGTTGACTAATTATATTTAACCTTCAATAGTTTTATTGCCGTATTTAGTTCAGGTCAATTCAATAGAATGATTATAAGAAGATTGCTAGACTACTTTGCAATCAGTTTTAATATAGAAATCATAAGTTTTTAAGCATTCGGTGCGAGACTTTTTAACAGTAGCCCTAGATAATGTAGACAATATCAAAAAACTTACAATACGCGAGATGTGTGAGAGAGTATTTACGGGAATTGTATACACTGTTTAATAGCATGCTGATCTAGAAGAAAGTAAGTACTTTACATTCTTTTACGGCATTATGAAATACTAGGGATTGCATAAAACCATGCTATCACCAATGATCGAATACCCAGCATTATAAAACAGTACACTCTACATCCTTAAGGTATAATTAATTGATACTCTGTAATTGGCCACAGTCGAACGGAAATTAATAGAATAGAATAGAATAGAAAATCATTTATTCAAATAAACCTAATTTAAGCACTTTTGAAGAGTTATAACATTTATTTTATCTATTGCTCGTTCGGAAAGCTGTCTCATCACAAGAAGAACGAGCAAGAAACTCGTGTGTTGCTCTTTTAAATAATCCTTGTAAGTTTACATTTAAAAGGCTCGGTTAAAAATCTAGCAGTGAATTTAAAGCACACAACTCTACCTCGAGGAAGGCGTCATAAACGCTATATGTACGGTTGCGCCTTTTACCACGTTACTTAGATGGGTATTTTGTGCAAGTAGCTACATTTTATATCCTGCTAAAGTGACTAAAAGTTGTCGTGTAGAGTGGGCACCAATATATCTCTGAGAGAAAATCTAATAACAAACTTTTCACACATTTTGTTGTGTCGATATTATACTTAGTAAATGTATGGAGGTGATTCGGAACTGTGCAGCATTTTCATCGGGTTTATCTGATGATGGAATCAAAGAATTGGTTATTGAGGAAGTTGGCAGGAGATGTGATTTGACTGTTGATTTTGAGGTATTTCCCTATAGATTCCTTGTTTTGTGTGTGTGACATTTCTTTTTTCACAACTTTTTACTCATATATTATTCCCGCTAATATTTTTAATTACCTTATCTATATACAGTTTTGACATTTGATAAGGTAATAATATACTTATTTTTAAATTCCTAGGTAATCATTATGGCTAAACCGTTTGTTATTTTGCTATACATCGTGATGAAATTAAGCAAGAATTTACAAGACTTTATTTATAGCTATCATATAGGAATAGCCCATATTAGTTTTCGTCATATATGATAAATAAATAAATAATCAGTTTTTTAGATTTATTTCAACAACCGATTGCTCTTATATCTTTTCAGCAAATAAATCCCTTATAATCTGAAAGTTGATAGAATTCCAGATTGTTTGCTCATCCCTTTAAGACACTAGTGATGAGTGGGTCTCGTACCCCTCCTACTACAATAAAATGTCTTATAATTTCTAAGAAAAGTTTGCCTAAACCTTTGGGTGTTCAAGTCACGCTTCAAGAAGTGGTTCGCCGCTTGGAAGTTTTTAGATACGTTTTTGTTAATTTATAGATCGAAGCCGTCTTCAGAAAGTAAGGAATCAATATGCAAAGTAGGTTGGTTAGCAATGTAATGTGGTGGTGTGGAGGTCGCGGGCCGTGCGTGTCGATGATCGATGGTATTGCGTGCGTCTTGGGCGCGTGGTAAGGTCGCGAGTACAGCCCTCGGCGACTTCGGTGCGGTGCGGCCCTCAGCAAGCAGCGATAGGGCGGCGTGACGTGGCTCGGCTTTGTCCCTTGCGCCCGTCGTCGCTGCCGCCTCCGCCTCCGCCTCCGTCGCCTCGCCTCTTCGCGCCGCCGCGCCTATGTCCCGACGCGCATGCCCCGCGCCAACTCCATGAACCCTCTCTCTACGTCACGATTTAAAATGATACGCCGTGCGAATCAGCGGACATTCGCTGCGTCGTCACGGTCAGGATACCTCTGATGCAACAGTCGCTTTAGGTGTTCGTGCGCCCACAGTTGTAGCCGTCATTCTCTGAGCAGAGCCAGTTAGTTGAGCACTCGAAAGGGAACGCGCGGCAGCGCCGGTATCGATCTGAGCGTTTCGTTGGTCCGTTCGTGCACGACGTTCTCTCGGGATATTCGTCCATAGGTCGCCGTCGGCGCCGGCCTTGCTGCTCTGTTTACGCGCCGTGTATACCTATTTCGTCCGCGCGATCATGCACGCCGAGGCTCATTGATATCGCTGCACACGCATCTGCATCCTACACCTGAGAGCCGAGCAGGCTCATCACTCTTATTTGATCGATCTCGTGCAGCGAAACTTAGGTAAGTTCACTTTAAAAAATATAATTGTTGCACCTTATTATTTTTATTATTTTCAATAATTTTGCCATTCGTTATAAGCTGTTCGGAGCGAATGGCTGATGCTGTATGAAGTATTATTTTGTATTTCTACTATACGCCATTGTTACCTTGCTTACTTATTGTGATTATACTTATCTTCTCCCGATCTATATTTGTGTGAGTAAAGTGTATTCAAATATTTCTATTGAGTGTGAGCTAGCCATCTGGTTTATATTTCTAAAGTTAGATTGTAAAATCGTAAACCACAAGGAATCATCGGTATAGGTATTTGTGGAGCCGTTTCTTCGACGCTATCTACTCTCATTTCAAGACAATTTCATAATATATTGAAGTTTATATTAGGTATAGGTGCGTTAGTAAATTTATATATGCTATGCGTATTTTACAAACGCAAAAATAAGTCAGGCGAATAAGAGGCGAAAGAAAGAAATTATATAGGCGACGTTTTTTTTACACGTGATGTATTAATTTTTTTTTACTGCGCATGTCTTGAGCTTTGGTTTATTTGTCGTATAGCTGTACAATGGGATTTCCAAATATCGGTAACTGTTGATTCCGTGGCCATTGACACGAGCTGTAATAATGGACTGAAATGGCTATAGTGCCGATGCATAATACTAATCTAGAAGTTCTCTATCTCGTGACGAAGATATTATTGAACAATCGTTTTAATGGTATTCACTTAGAATGTTATTTAAAAGAAATGCGTGCATAGTAGCGAAAACTAAAAATATTTCCATTTATCTATAACTTATAGGTAATATTTAAGATTTATACCATTCATTACACATAATCGTCAGAGTTAAAAGACCGCGAGTTCATCCGTGTGACCATAATTTACAAATGCAATTACAATGTTGGAGAACATTTAGTTCTCCAACTTCTCAATCACGAATGCTGCGTGTATGTACAATTTTGTAATGATTGATTAAGCCGTTAAGGTGTGAATGCGTAAATAACAAACAGACTAATATACGCGTTGATAAATATTTACATTTAATAATAATAGTTACGATTCCGAAAAATCCCAACTTTCATTATTCGTCATACAAAGAGTTTCAATTTAAAGTATTCGATAAAAAACAATGTTATATAGAATAGTTACATTTTAGTAATAGATAAATCTAATAGAAGGTTTGTTTTCTTGATCTGCCTACTTTCACAAGATCCGGCGGAACGGCTATGTTTCTTGGCAATATAATCTCTTTTCACATTTAGTTTATTTATTCTGTACATGAAGAAAAACGTAAATCACTCAGTCTCTTAATACATATTCGAACGAAAACAAATATAATGACGTCAAAAACAGGAAAATGAAATCCTTTCCGTTTCTCATACCGTTTGATTTAAGGGTCTTTATACCCCTTCAACCCTTCTACTAACGATCTCAAAAATCGACATAATGTATCTCATAAGATTAGTACAAGTAAATTGTATCGCCTAAATATATAAATCTTTTTTTCTTTTTTACACAAAAACAATCATTGTAATCCAACGCGGTACATCGAGGCAGCGTACTCAAGATACTGGCAGCGTTGCCTCTTTGAATGGCCATACTACTGGAGTAATGGGTGCTGGTAGCTACTTTGCCCACAGTTTGCCTGTGGGCAAAGTAGCTATCAGCTCTCAGGTAAAGTAACGTCGATAAGCCGCGCTGAAATATATGTATATATAAATTTTTATTTCGCCGATATGAGTACGTAACATTGATTCGCCATGAAATTAGGCGTTACGCGTGTGTTGAAGTTATTAGGAATGAATGACTATTAATGTTCTTCTCAGAATTCTCGATACTAATACTACAATAGTATTGTAAGAGTCGATCAAGTGCTTGTTACGCAGCATGTAACAAAGTACTCGAATTCCGTGGGTGTGTAGAGTATTCAACATTTCTGAATGAATCCAAAGTAACCTTTACACAATATTTAATTGTTTGTAATCTGTTAAAAATTCCATTCATTCTATTCTAAGCAATTTTGTAAGAATTACGCGTAATATAAAGAATTAATATAATATAGTAATAGTTTGGAAATTTTTGGGATTTTCAATTTTAGTTGTTGGGCTACAGAATCTTAAAGTAATAGAATGGCTCCTAAACAGCTCCTACCAGTAAACCCAAAATTTTTTGGGTTTACTGGTAGGAGCTGCAAATTTAGTGTAGTACCCTATTTTTTTTTATTATTATAACGTAGAAATAAGTACAGCGCGTAGAAATATTTATTTTATTAAAGTCGCTTTGAGTCGCAAATATCACTGTATTGTTTTGATTTATTGTCCTTTCTGTTACTTGAATTATATATGTGGCTTCGTTTATTTGTATAACTTTCTGTTTATATATGCATATGCCATTGAATGTTATCAGCTTATTGTACATATAAGTATTCAAACAGATACAATTTGATATCAGTGTTGTAACGCAAACAGTTTACAATTTGAAGTTATATGAAATGCATATTTAAACTAATAAATATGAATGTTTGTGACATTTGTATACTCTAGTAGTAGGTTGTATAAATAAAAGGAATGTCGTCTCTACAGCCAATATAAATACAAAATACTCCTCGGCCCGGCATCAAAATTTAAAATTCTAAATTCTAAATATCTTTATTCATATAGCTCTATTACAGACTCTTATGATATGTCAAATCTACCGTCAGTTCGGAATGATTTCGGGATGAGAAGAACTGACAAGAAACTCAGCTCGTATTTATTTTCTATTTTTGTACATATTTACAATAATACAGATTCATTTAAATTCAAATTTGGGAGCATAGAGTGACCACCAGCATATGCTATTGAAAAAAAATTAAAAATCTAATCAGTGTACGCAACCTGAACATACCAGTCCCCACAAGCAGCACCCGTTCCCGAGTATGACGGATGAGAGAGTTTCGCACGGGTGTTTTTATTGACAGATTAATTAATGACACGAGTATGTATTAATTTGTTCTATAACGCAAGAAATGTACTAAGTCAAAATCTGGCGTTCTGTTAACTCCAAAAAATATATCTTATATATAAAATTCTCGTGTCACAGTTTTCGTTCCCATACTCCTCCGAAACGGCTTGACCGATTCTCATGAAATTTTGTGAGCGTATTGAGTAGGTCTGAGAATCGGCCAACATCTATTTTTCATCCCCCTAAATATTAGGGGTAGTCAAACCCTAAATTTTTTTTTTAATTTTTTAGACAAAATTTTTATTTATATTTTTTTTATAATACAACATACAATCCTAAATTTTCACCCTTCTATCATCAACCCCTATATTTTTATAGCGTTATTAATTTATATGGCAAAACAACGTTGCCGGGACAGCTAGTTTTTTATAATACTGCTAGCCATAGGTCGTAGTTGAACATTGAAGCTTCACCGGACAAAATGGAGTCGACTGTAGAAGAGACCACAAAATAGTTTTATTCTATGAGTACAGGATTTCTCCCAGTTGGAGTTTCAATTTTAATAAACAACGAAACACTAACTTTTTTCTGTGAAGCATTAAAACATTTAATTCGTCTAACTTTACAAATTACGAACTTCGCATATAAACTTTATCCCCTGTTTCAACCTCTTAAGGACAGATTTTATAAAAATTTTAGATACAAACTTATTTATTTCTAAACTGAAGTTTGTATACCAACGTATTAGCAAGTAAATTAAAACGTTGAAATTGAAGGCTTTCATATTACTCCTAATAACCTCTTTTATCACTTTATGGCTGGAATACGCGGAAATAAATCTTTAGATTTTATATTATACTAGCTACACGCCCCGTCTTCGCCCGGGTATACATGTATTATATATATAAACCTTCCTCTAGAATCACTCTATCTATTTAAAAAAAATACTTAAAAATCCATTGCGTAGTTTTAAAGAATTAAGCATACATAGGGACAGACAGCGGCACTGATATTTTTTTTTAGATTAACCAAATTTGAAGTATTTAACTCAAGCAAGTAAAACGTTTTTGTTTTTATTTCATACTATTGTGTTAACACTTTTTCACTTGCAGGGTGTTGTATTTCCAAATAACGATATCCTTATATAAATATATAAGATTTTATTAAAGATTTTTAGCATAAATATTTATTTATGCTAAAAATCTTTAATATTAATTTTCTTTCTTATTTCAACAATTATGGATTCCCCATAAAACAATCAACACCTATTTCTGTATAGGTACACCACATTTCGATACTGTAAAATTGACGGATCTCTATACAATTTTAACTTCTTAATAATATTATAATCTCAGCACAATTCACACAGCGCCATCTAGACTCAAGTTAAGCTAGCTGAAGCTTATGTTGTGGGTACTATATTATGTTATATAATACATTTTTTTTTTTTATTAAATACATATTATATATAGAAAACATCGAGACCGATACAAACAATCGTACTCATGAATACAAATGTTTGTGCCGTGCGAGGAATCGAACCCGCGACCATCGGTCGTAAAGCGGTGTGCTAGACCACCGAGGTCGTCGTTAACTTAATATTTCCAAAAATCCTCTCTTAGGGAGTGTGAAAACATAAAGTGTCCGTTCCATTATCACATCCTGGTTAACAGTTGTCAATCAAGTATTCAACGAGACAATTCAGTTGAAGTCCTCACTCGATTGAGTTTCAATTATATAATTCCAAGTCCGCCATTATACTGATTGTTGAACCATAACGAGGTATTATCGACCATAAATATGCATCCATAATTACAGTTCTGTCGCATGCCAGCTATTGAAAAATTGACTGCATATGCAACAGAAGGGCGGAGCAAAGACATGCTATTATGTAATTGTCAAGTTGATATTTATAGCCGGTACGCGATGTGTGTTTTATAAAGAATTTTAACATTTTATATGTTAGATTGCTAGCAATTATTGAAGCTATATTACTGTAAAGTTTCATCAAAATCCGTTTAGTAATTTTTGCGTGGAATAGTAACAAACATCTATACTTTCAAACTTTCGATTTTATAATATAAACTACTTACTCGTCCCGGCTTCGCACGGGTGTACATGTATTATATATATATAATACATGTAAACCTATTATCTATTTTCGCTTGAATATAACTCACGGTTTCATTAGTTTGAAATTTATAGTGTTATCTTGATGTATAAGTTATATTACTGTAAAGTACCATCAAAATCAGTTTAGTAATTTTTGCGTGGAATAGTAACAAACATCTATACATTCAAACTTTCGAATTCATAATATAAACTACTTACTCGTCCCGGCTTCGCACGGGTGTACATGTAATATATATATAATACATGTAAGCGTATTATCTATTTTCAGTTGAATATAACTCACGGTTTCACTAGCATGAAATTTATAGTGTTATCCTGATGTATAAGCTATATTACTGTAAAGTACCATCAAAATCAGTTTAGTAATTTTTGCGTGAAAGAGCAACAAACGTCCATGCTCACTAACCTTCCCGTTTAGGTTATATATAAAATTCTCGTGTCACAGTTTTCGTTCCCATACTCCTCTGAAACGGCTTGACCGATTCTCATGAAATTTCGTGAGCGTATTGAGTAGGTCTGAGAATCCGCCAACATGTATTTTTCATCCCCCTAAATGTTAGGGGTAGTTCACCCCTAATTTTTTTTTTCTAATTTAAGGCAAAACAACGTTTGCCAGGACAGCTTGTAATATTATAAAAATAAGATTTTGACGTCTAAGATTTTTTCAGTATTCAGTTTAGTATTTCAACTTCATATTACATTTTCTTTTGAAAGTTAAAAAGTATTTAAATAAACTTCTCCGTTTCTTGTAATTTATTTATTTGTAAAATCCGGTGACACTTGATGGTGCCTCAGTCCGATATTCATTTATTAATTTCCAGTAGACGCGGCAAGTCTCAGATAAAAATATCTTTCTAAGATTATTATTATTAATTTTGACTTTAACTTTTTACTTTTAGTTTAAGTAAACAATAATAATAATAATCTCAGGACAATTCACAATATAACGAACAATCATACTCATGGATACAAATGTTTGAGCCGTGCGAGGAATCGAACCCGCGACCATCGGAAGTAAGGCGGTGTGGTAAACAACTAGACCACCGAGGCCGTCAATACATGGACTTGTTTTCGATTTTTGTTAGCATTTACATAAACATGTCATTTGAACATTTCATATAGATATTATAAAGAATACTAGCTGTCCCGGCAAACGTTGTTTTGCCATTAAATTTAATAACGCTATAAAAAAATAGAGGTTGATGCTAGAAGGGTGAAAACTTAGGGTTGTATGTATTTTTAAACTCCTAAATAATAATAAAATGAAAATAAAATATCATGACACAAAAATAAAAAATATGGACATCCCTTACCACTTAGGGGCATCAAAAATAGATAGGAGCCGATTCTCAGACCTGAATATGCATATAAAATTTCATATAAATCGATAAAGCCGTTTGGGAGGAGTATCGTAACTAACATTGTGACACGAGAATTTTATATATAGGACTACTGTAATAAATGTGAAAGAGGACAATAGAAATTTAATAATATTAAAACGTATAATTAGTAAATAATACATACAATTGTAGATTTAAAAAGTTCAAAATTCTCAGGACCGGACTATAGTATTAAGAACTACATTATTGAAGTTTTATGTTTCATATACTATAGAAAAAAAAAACTGGTAATTTACTGAAGTAGATTCAATTGATATGAAATCATGAGTTTGGTTTTTATAATTTTTTTTTATATCAACATTTTTATAATATAAAACAATTTTAAGAATTAGCTTTTATTAATATTAAACTATATATTTTTTCAATTAACAACATAATATCTTATTTTTCCGTGTATCTTTAAGCCATAAAAGCTCTACCCACGATGTTGGTAAGGTCAAATGCCAAAAGACAACTAGAGTTAATTATTTCTTTTATATGGTCTCCCGGACGCACGCTTCTCGTTTTGTTACTTCGATCTGTCACTACAATATCATACCTTGCATCTTATACAGTACTAGACACTCGTCCCGGCTTCGCACGAGTGTACATGTATTATTTATATAAATCTTCCTCTAGAATCACTCTATCTATTAAAAAATCCGTTGCGTAGTTTAAAGATTTAAGCATACATAGGGACAGACAGCGACAGTGACTTTGGTTGTATGTAACAAAGTATATGTAATGATGATGAAAAAGCTATAAATAGCGTAGTTTTGATTATATTTCTATTTAATAACTGATTTTAGTGACACTTTTTAGTGCTATCTCCATACAACAAGAAAAATCATATTAGCTACGTGTTTTTATAGTTACGTTAAATTATTGTGTTGTATAATCCAAGGAAACTTATTTTAATACTATCTGTAATGATTCGGTGGACTGTATGGGTGTCTAAATGATGAAAATTGTATAGTTTGCAATAATATAATATATTAATATGTGCAATTGCGAACTATACGAAAGACAATAAGAGATTGATACAATAAATTGAAGTATATCAAATAACATGACATATAAAAAAGAACTCTTCAAAAATATAAATTTAAAAATATTAAAAGAGTTCGGCGGTCGGTCGCCAACACTATAGTTAAATACTAGTAACGTTATTATTATCTATATTAGGATTAGTGATAAAGTATGATGCCTGATATAACTTTTTCAATTCTCTTTGATCCTGCTTCCCCGGAATATTTGAAATGCAAATTTCAATATCTCCGGGACTCTCATGACCGCCAACTACGTTCTAAAGACTTTTTTACTTCAAACTCCTCTTCATAAAACTAATTTTGTATCTTACTCTTTTGGTCTACAATCTTCACGGCTCTGGAACTCACTCCCTGAACGCATTCAAACTATCTCCAATAAGTATACTTTTAAAAAAAATGTTCATGCTCATCTTCTAAGTTTATTGTCATAGAACAAGTAGTGTATATCATGTTGAATGTATGTATATATGTATTGTGTATTGTATGTATGTTATAATATTCGTGTGTATTCTATTCTTGTTTAGTATTAGTTTAGTCTAATATTTGTATATATGTTATTTATGTAATTAATGTTTAGCCACCATCAAGTATTTCTGCACTTCCTGAAGGTTGACTGGTATAGAATGCCTATAGCATTAAGTCCGCCTTTTGTACCATAATTGATTGGTCAATAATGTTTTAAATAAATAAATATATATATATATAAATAAATAACTTATACTTGGACTAATGAGGACTAATAATTACGTAGTCGCAGAGGGACTATCATACGGATTTTGGCAAGTTACCGCAACACATAAATTTATTACTTACTTATATCTTCTTGTACTGTACTGATATTATAAATATCAAAACGGTTTTTGTGTTTGTTTGTAATAAACAAAAAAATACTTGATTTTATTTGAGCCAGTAAATAGAGTAATGGTTTACGGGATGCAGCTAGTACTTCATAGTGTCAAACGCATAATTTTAATAGAGGTTTCACTCGCGTTAAATTTCAATGAAAAATATATCCTATATATTATTCTGATGCATAAGCTATATTACTGTAAAGTTTCATCAAAATCCGTTCAGCAGTTTTTGCGTGAAACAGTAACAAACATCTATACTTCCAAACTATCGCGTTTACAATATTATTAACTATCTACTCGGCCCGGCATCGCACGGGTGTACATGTATTATACATATAAACCTTCCTCTTGAATCACTCTATCTATTAAAAAAAACCGCTTCAAAATCCGTTGCGTAGTTTTAAAGATTTAAGTTTACAGACAGCGACAGCGACTTTGTATTATACTCACAGCGACCTCGGTGGTCTAGCGGTTTAGCATACCGCTTTACATCCGATGTTCGCGGGTTCGATTCCTCGCACGGCACAAACATTTGTATTCATGGTCTGGGTGTTTTATATGGGATGTATAATATGTATGTATTAACGAAAAAAAAAACATTCAGACCAAAATTAAGCTTTAGATAGCTTGATTTGGGTCTAGACGGCGCTGTGTGAATTGTCCTGAGATTATTATTTTTTTTTTCTCAGCTTTTGCTGGTTTTCTCCACACTTACGGGCCGAAACCAAGTAAGTGCAGTGTGTGTATGTCTGTGTGTATGTGTGAGTGTGTGTGTCTGATGGACTGGTGTTATATCCTTTTCATCTATTTCGAGTAATTTTCGGACAGTATTACAGTAATTATATTATTATACTATGTAATAATGATGATGATAAGAATAGAATTCCATGAGAATACACATACTTATAGGCTGCACTTGTTGTGCTTCTTAACGAAGTACCATTGATTTTTTTATGTGAAATACGGTCGATACCCTACATAGCAGTTAGCATAAATACTTAAGTAGTACTATCAGTCACTGCTCTATTTTGTCCATAATAAATGTGTATGCACTCCTTGTTTCTAGTCTTTCGCTCCAATACAACCGCATACTGTTTACTACTATTGTTTATTTACACAACCGTTGAGTGAACAGTTTCAGTTCATATTGTCGAAGTATGTATGAAATCATTATAATTATCATCGTTACATAGTATAAAACAGTCGCTGTCGTTGTCTGTCCCTATGTATGCTTAAATCTTTAAAACTACGCAACGGATTTTGAAGCGATTTTTTTTAATAGATAGAGAGATTCTAGAGCAAGGTATATATATATAATTCATGTAGACCCGTGCGAAGCCAGGGCGAGCAACTAGTCATTATTATTGTATAGTATAAAACAAAATCGCTGTCGTTGTCTATGTATGCTTAAATCTTTAAAACTACGCAACGGAATTTGAAGCGATTTTTTTAATATTCAAGAAGAAGGTTTATATATATAATACTAGTACACCCATGCGTATCCGGGGCGAATAGCTAGTAAATATATAAATAGAGTAATATAATGCAATAAGATTATTTCTTAATTTCATCGCCTAAATTACGAAGAGTTGGTCATACAACTTTCCACTTACTCTAAGTCTCTCAACTTAATGTTTCTTTTATTTTTCTCTAAATAATATAACTTTGGTATGTTTATCTAATATATAAAATTACTTACTAGAATTTTATTTCATCTATTTGTATGTGTAGTATATGGTAAAGATATACTGTATCTTACATCTCTGTCGTTAATTTGGATAATGTAAGACGACGAATAATGTGCTACGTAAAACTATCTTTCACACCAAAATGTGGATCTCTCCAGTTAGTTGGAAGAACTTTTCTTTTTATATCCAATTTACGAATTTTCTCTCGTGTTTTAATTCCAAATCATATTCTTGACAGCTCCTTAAGATTGACATCTATTATATTAAAATATAGTAGATCATGTTATTTAACACATTAGTATCAAATTTCAAGAAGAACAAAACATACTGAAATATTAGACGACCTCGGTGGTCTAATAGTCTAGCACATCGCTTTACGTCTGATGGTCGCGGGTTCGATTCCTCGGACGTAAACATTTGTATTCATAAATATGATTGTTTGTATCGGTCTGGGTGTTTTCTATGTACAATATGTATGTATTTACGAAAAAAAATATCTCTATACTTGTATCAGTTATCTAGTACCCGTAACACAAGCTTTTGAGCTTTAGACTAGATGGCGCTGTGTGAATTGTCCTGAGATTATTATTATTATTTATATATATCAAAATTAATCTTAAAAATTATTTATTTAAAAAATGCGTTTACTCCGTTGACGAATTTTTTTATGATCGACCGTTACTGTTACAATTCGGAGATTATTATTGGTAATATCGTTATTGATATTACTATGATTGATTATTGTTATTGGTATTATTATTATTATTATATATATATATATATATATTTATTATATCTCCTTTTTTACGGGGGTAATATATTCAAACACGCGGGCCTTAGCCAAGCATGGATGAGTTATGTGATGAAGATATAAATTTTCTGACTATTCTGCATTATTATTATTATTATTATTATTATTTTTAATAATAATAAACTTTATTGGTCAACAAAACATTTTTACATTTAATACACATTACAATAAATTTGAACATTGTTATTTCAGATATAGATTATTTAAATTTATGAATAAATAAATAAATGGTAACATTTTTTGTCGAAGGAAATTTACTTGGCTACCCCATTACAAATAGTTATACGTTGGTTGTTCCCTGGGGTGATGTGGGGGTGAGATATGTAATAGAGGCAGCCCGGAAAATGGCGTCTGTACGATTATAGGTGTGCGTCACGTTACAACATACTCCTCTGAGCCAGATGACTGCTTCAGGGAGCCACTTGGTTAAGTGTTGCAACTATTATTGATTATTATAGCATAGATATTGTATACGTTGATATAATATTAAATTAGTTAGGTAGTTTCATTTTATTTGTGTATAGGTAAGACGAAGGAGAGTATGTATACGCAGATAATATATTCAGAAATACTATTGACAACAGAATGAAGCATCAGATAAGAATTTATATATATATATAAATATGTATAAAATTTGAGTGTCTGTTTGTAATATTGAAATAACCCTTTTTTACTTCATGCATATATGAATATAAATACGGTACATACACCAAAATAACTATTTTTACAATTTTTGTCTGTCTGTCCATCTGTCTGTTTGTTCCGGATGATCTCGGAAATGTCTGGACCGATTTTTGACGGGACTTTTTTTGGCAGGTAGCTGATGTAATAAGGAGTAACTTAGACTAATTTTATTTAAAAAGAATTAAATTAAATTCCACACGGACGCAGTCGCGGGTACAGCTAGTGTACAATAATATTTAAATACAAATTTAGAATATATACATTTGTAATTAGCCAGTTACAACAGTTAAAGTTAAGTAATCCATAGATGGTTGACCATGGTTGGTTGTTCCACTTCCACTTCCAGGAGCTTACAAAATTCCCTTTAAATGTTGATACCAGATTTTTATTGGTATTACAATAAAGAAACTGTAGTCTTTCCTTGTAATGTAACAAACACCAGCTTTTCTCTTATTACCTCATCACTAATTACTGAACAGACTTTGTAAACATTGATCTACATTTGATCAGATCAGCCGAATGTGTTATCTCACAGTGTGAAGTTGTGTTCAACACAAAATAGATACAGATCTAGTAATCCATTAGGTAATTCTAATGGATGGATACAGACGAAGTCACATGCACCGGTGCTTAATTAAGTTGAACTTGAAATATGTTTTTTTCTGATATAAACCTATTACGACGATCTCGGTGGTTGAGCGGTTGGCACACAGTTTTTCTTCCAATGGTCGGTTCGATTCATGGCATGGATAAACATTTGTATTCATGAGCATGATTGTTTACATCGGTCTGGGTATTTTCTATTGTTTTTACAAAAAAAAAATATCTAGGTATGTTATTACATCAGCTACCTGCCAATGAAAGTCCCGTCAAAATCGGTCCAGCCATTTCAGAGATTAGCCGGAACAGACTGACAAAAATGGTAAAAAATGTTATTTTGGTGTATGTACCGTATTTATATTCATATGTATATAGTAAAAAACGGTTATTTCAATATTACGAACAGACACTCCAATTTTATTTATGTGTATAAATTAGTGATGTAACAAATAAAAAAATGCACTAGTATATTATAGAGTCTGTAGTATATGATACACTATTGTACGTTATTGTTAGCAGTTATATCTCATGAAATGAAAGTTAAGTGCAGGCAACATGCTTGATTGCAATTAGTTACAAGTACTTGTAGATAACTTTGCATACACTCTATATATAATACTTAAAACAGATGAGTTAAGAACTAATTCAGTCTTAATGAATAATACGTTTATGAAAATAATGAGTTCAATATCTATCAACTTTATTATCGACATGCCGATATATATTTAACGTTAACTAAATACGAAAAGACACTGCGAAAAGTTTTAACAAACGCTCGTGTTAGGGCAAATAACTTTTAATAGGTGCGTAAATAGAAGTGTGTACTTAAACTGGCAAAGTATAAAAGAATGTTAAACGGCACATCCGAGAAACAAGCAGACATGGAACGTAGACGTTAAGAAGAAAAAAATCATATCTTATTTGACAATAAGATATGATTTTTTTCTTCTTAACTAATCTTTTTGTTATATCCGCCAGTATTTGTAAAGCAGCATATGAGAAAGCATGTTTATTGATTGTTTTCTTTTCTTCATTACTTTAAATATAACTAGCTCTGTCAAACGTTGTTTTGCTATATAAATTAATAACGCTATAAAAATAGGGGTTGGTGGCCGAAGGGTGAAAATTTACAAAAAAAATTGTTATTAGATGTGCCACCCTTAACAGGGGTTTAATAATTTGATATACTGAACATACATATAAAATTTCATCAAAATCGGTCAAGCCGTTTCAGAGGAGTATAAAAACGAAAACTGTGACAAGAGAATTTTATATATTAGTTATGTAAAATAGGTTTATTAAACATACGAACTGTCTCCCAGTTCGTATGTTTAATTTTGTATAGTACTATAATCTAGCTTTGTTTATTTATAGATTTTGAAATTAGCGTTGTAAAAAATTCTCTGCGTGAGTTATTGTCAGTAACAGAGCATATATATTATTTAATTGAATTGCTGTCTAGGTTCTATGTAAGAATTACGTACCAGTCATGTTTTATTGGTTGCCATTTTCTCGCCATTTTGTCCATAAAATGGATCAGGTGCTGACGTTAATTCCGCCCAAGTCTCACATGTTTCTATTGGCCTCCTTCATATTAGAGCTACAATTTAGTTTGATAGAAATAGAATATCGTGAATTTCTAGGTAAAAGAAAACAATTTTCGGTGTCTACGTACCTAGGGAGTTTTAAATTTTCAATCAATTTCAAGAAAATAATGAATAAATAACCATGGACAATTAACAGCGCCATCTAGTCCCATGGTAAGCAAAGCTTGTGTCATGGATAATAAACCACTCATAGAAATATATATTTCAGATTTTTTTTTTTAAATACATTATATACATAGAAAACACTTAGACCGATACAAACAATACACATGAATATAAATGTTTGCGCCGTGCGAGGAATCGAACCCGCGATCATCGGAAGCAAACTACTAGACCAA